CAGCATGCTGTGATCAGAGTCAGTGAATGAGTACTCAGTCTTTCTTTCCTGGGTTGATGTTTTGCACTGCTATGGTCTGAATGAGCCTTCTTTAAATTCTTCTGTTGAAATCCTAACCCCCCAAAGTGATGATATTAGGATACAGGACTTATGGGGAAGTGATTAATCCATGAGGGCTGAGCCCTTATGAATGGGAGTAGTGCCCTTAGAAGAAAGGCCTCAGAGAGCTGCCTTTTCTACACTGTGAGGACCCAGCAAGAAGGCACCATCTATGAACCAGAAAATGGACTCTTACCAGACATTGAATTTGCTGATATCTCAATTTTGTACTTCCCAGCCTCCAACTCTGTGAGAAATCAACTTCTGTTGTTTATAAGTTACCAGTTTATGGTATGTTGTTATAGCAGTGGAAATGGAATAAGACTCTCATTATTGTAGGAAACAAATATGCTTTTCTGATGCCTTTTTGACCAGTGCTGATGTGCATAAGATAGAATAGGAAGTGGTGGCGAACGGCCATTGAAAACCCATCTACAAGAAAAAACTAGCTGAGTGACTCACATTTTATAAGGAATGATGGGTTGCTCAAAATATCCCCACTCATAAATTTGGGAATGGGAGCATGGAACCAAATCACCAGGGCCTTCTCATTCCCCACCCTACCCATCACTTCAGAACTTTAAAAGTGAGATAGTTGAGAGGGTGGGGTGAGCAGGTGAAAAAGCTCTAGTTCTCTCACAACACATTCACTGAACTTTCTTGGCAAAGGGAAGCCTCTTCCATTATTCATTCACATTCTACTCTGGGTCAAGTACAACACTAGCTGCTCAGGATATAGTGCCTGTTCTCAGTGAAGTATCACAGGCATGTTTGGGGAGATAGAGGGGTAAACAGAACATTGCAATTCACTGTGGACCACAGTCCTCAAAGAGAACAAAAACATGTATAATGGACATAGCTTGTATCCTACAGGGCTTCCTATGGTGCTTTGTACAGAGACGATCTGCTGCCCTCTGCCCCTTTCTCTATAAACAAAGGCTTCAAGGTGTGATCTGGAACATTTGTACCACCACTAAGAGAATTCAAAGCCAGGATTACATTCTTTGTGGTAATAGGTGTATTTGACGGTGGAGAGCTTAAAGAATTTTGACTAGTCGATGACTAAGAAAAGCAAGAAAATAATTTTTTCCTCTTTAAAGAAAAGAGAGGCTGGGCACAGTGGCTCATGCCAGTAATCATGCTGGGCACTTTGGGAGGCCGAGGTAGGAGGAGAATGTGAGGCCAGTTTGAGACCAGCCTGGTCAGTATAGTAAGACCCCATCTCCACAAAAAGTAAAAATAAATAAATAAATAAATAAAAATAACTGGGCGTGGTGTTACATACTGTTAGCCCTATCTATTCCAGAGGCTGAGGCAGGTGGATCACTTGAGCCCAGGAGTTAGTTTGAGGCTGCTGTGAGCTGTGATCATGCTATTGCACTCCAGCCGGAGTGACAGAGTGAGAGCCCATTTCAAAAGAAAATAAAAAGTAAACAGGGTTTGGGGACTAAGAAAAGGTAGATTTTTGTTGGCCTCAAGCAAAGAATCTTTTTGCTACTGTTTATGAGTTTCTAGGAATTCTTAGGATAATTTCAAGAAGAGAAATAGAATGTTTCTTGTTTGCTTTATGAATTAATTATTTAAGTGGGCAAAGAGGTAGGAGTGTGTGAGCGTGTGTGGTGGGAGAAGGTTGGGAAGGGGCATGTCCCAGTCGGTCCTAACCTATCTCCAGCTCCAGTTGCTTCTGTTCCATCCCAGTATCACGTGTCTGTGTATTCTCCATGGCAGCCACTCCAACACTTAATATTTTTGAGACATTGCTCCCCTTTCCTTGGGAATTCTTGCTTACTTCCTTCACATTAGATGCTGCTCCACTCTTTGCACCCAAGGAGCAACATTCTTATACCTCCACCATAACACAAATCCTCTCGCTTCAAAATCTGTGTACGCATCTGTGACAACCACTAGTTTGTATGAACAAATGGGCATAGACCACATGGTATTATCATCATTAGCACTGGGTCAGTCCACACTGCAGAGTCAGATATATAAGGCTTAGTTCTGCTGCATAATTAGCTATATAACCTTTGGGCAAGTTAGCTAATCATTGTAAGCCTTCATTTCCTTGTCTATAAAATAGTGGTAATAATAGTACCACATTAAAAAAAAGCATATGCAAATAAAATTACATAACATACATTCAAAGAACTGAGCACAGAGCCAGGTACTAGGTGGACACTCAGTTCATCTTACTTGCCTTCACCAAGTCCTCCCAAGAGTAGAGTTGTTCCTCAGCACCATTCCTGTTGTATATTAGTAATTCAGATTACCTGACACCTAAGAAGTACAAATATTTATGAAGTCCTCAGGCACTGAAACTTAAAAATTATCTGGGATAGGAACAACAGCAAAAGGGAAGCATAATTCATAAAGTTTTAACATGATTCAATTAAAATGTCCAAGCTTCAATATAACTTTCATCTTTAGCACCTCATTACATCTCATTTTCCATCTCCCTGAAAGCATTCCATGGCTGCACCGGATTGATCCCATAAATTGCTTTTGAGAAACAGGTCCCAAGATCCTGTGCCCTCATCCTTGCTTTTTACCATCCCAAGAAACATCCTTTGAATGAGCCAACAATAAATATTACCAGTTATTTGTTTCCGGTATGTATGAAAGGGTACAGTGCAATATCATATTGTAGAGGTACAGAGAGGGTTTGGGGCCAGTGAACATGATCATTCTCACTTTTAGAGAAACCCTCTCTCCCTGCTTTTGGAACGAACTGCAGCAGGGAATGAATTGAGGCAAAGAATGTCTCTAGAGCCAGCGTGAAGATACCTTTCTCTCAGCTCCTCCACCAGGGTTGAGGCCAGGGGTTACAGGTTAACTTATGCACGCCAAAATTTCAAGCTGCATTAGCTGAAAGAAGTTAGAAAAACCAGGATCCACTCCAGGTTTCATTCCTTCTCTTCTTTTTCCTTCACACTGATTACAAGTCGATTTGTGGGTGTGTTGGTTATTTAAAAAGATAAAAGAAAAATCAAACAGCAACAAAAAGCAGCCCTCCAGGTGTCCTTTTCCAAGCCGGCAGCGGTTAGGTGAGTGAGTGCAGGGCATATCTATAATTCAGCTCGGGAATATTTCCCTTAATAATTAATTGAGCATCACAAAAGGAGGAGGCCCAATAGGGCCGTGAACAAAGCTGCCTCCCCGAGGACAACAGTGACTGTCCCGGCGCCAACCGACGAGCCCAAGGTCGGATTTGCTCCAGCAGTCCGGGCACGCGCCGCCACTGCCTGCCTGGTCCATCGGGCGTGCTGGGAGAGGTTCTAGAGAGACCCTGTCGCCACCTGGGCTTCTGGTTTTGTGTGTGTGTGTGTGTGCGCGCGCGCGCACGCGTGTGTGTGTGTGTGTGTGTTCACTCGCGCGCGCTCGAGTGTGGAAGTGGGGTACTGGGGTGGGAATGGACTGCAGAACCTTTTTTTTTTTTTTCTTTTTTTAATGGTGATGGGCAGTGGGAAAGCTCACTAAGATAGAGACCCCGGGGCTGCTGGGCCCTGTGGAGCACGCTTAAACCCCGTTCTCCACAAAAAGGAAAAGAAGAAAAAGACAAATTAATAATAATAAGCATAAGACAGAGACTCCCCAGAGCCAAACCTCTCACCCAGTTGTTTCTGACAAGCCTCAGACAGGCGCAAGAAACAAGGAGAAACCTTTCCTCAAATTGAAACTTCAGCCAGTCAACATGAAAGGCCCAAGAAGCTATTAACCAGAAGTTCCCGCTTTAGGGGACCAGGGACTTGCCCGAGGCCCCGACTTGCAGCTAGCTTTAACTTTCAACTCATAGTGACCTTTTCCTTATTTTAATGCAAAAATTCACGCTCAGAGGTGAAGATTTAAAATGCGAATGATACATAGGTTCTATGAAGAAATGAGCCAGAAAAACTCCACCTCTACATGCTCTGTCCATAGTTCCCCTATTTCCCCTTATGGGAGAGGCCCGTGAAAGAAACCCACGCCCTGACTTCGAGGAGCAGCCCACTTTTTTTTTTCTTGGTGTTAGCTCCCTTGTGCGCGCAAGCTTTAATTAAAAGAAAGAAAACCAAAGAAACTTGCTTTTTGCTGAGATCTCCCTTGATTTCTATCCTGAGGGATCCAAAGAGCCCTCGGTCAGTACCAGAGCCGTATTTCTTTTTGCAGCAACAGGTTGTCTGCGGGCTTTTCCCCGCCTTCCAAAGCCCCCAGCCCCAGGCCAGCCCTGGAATTCACTCATTTCTCCAACCCTCTTCCCCTAGGACCGCTGCTTCCCTTACACAGCCCCTAGCCTGGGCCTGATTCCAATTTCTGTAACATTCCCCTACCCGGGGTAGAATACAGGTTGAAAGTCGGTTTCCTCCGCGCCCCGGAGGCCCAACCCCGACGCTGAAGCCGCCCAACTCCTGTGTGCAGGGAAGGCGGAGACTGAGGGATCTGGGCGGGCTGGCAGGCACAGGAGGGCTCCCCGCCCGCGGCCTCGCCTGCGGTGCCCCGGGCTCCCACCCCGACAAACCCGCTTTGGGAGGGGGTGGGGTGTGGAGAAGAGGACGGGGCTCGAGGGGAGAGCTGGAGAAAGCAAGTTAGGGAGTGGAGAAGATGTCCCAAAGGACCTCATTTTCGGGACTGCACCTCCCGGGGAGCTCCCCGCTCCCACGCCCTCTGGGGACTCCCGCGCTGCCGTCGAAACCCCCATTCCGGCCCCAACAGGGACACTTCTCCAGGATTTGCTCCTCTCCTCTGGGGACCACAGCCAAACACTCCTGGAATCGATCCCGGATCCTGGGAGTCTGGGGGCCCGGCCAGAGTGCGGGGAGTCGCGGCGTCGTGACTGCGCCCGCCCCGCCGCTCCTGGAGGCGCCCCTGGCGACCGTCGCGAACGCCACACCCTCGGCTCGGCCCTGGCCCCGCCCCCGCCCGGCGCGCGTTCGCGGCCAGGGGAGGCGTGTGCTGCTCCCGCAGCCAGCGAGAGCGAGAGAGGGATGGATGTTGGAGGAGGAATTCGGGCTTAACAAGTGATCGCTGCTGTCTAGGATTTTGCCTCTTTTCGGGGGAACCTTGACTTCCTTTCCCAGGCAATCCCTCTTGCACTGAACTCCAGAGGAACCAGGAGTCTTGGGGTCTTCTCTGGGGCAGCCCCGACCCCCGCCCCCAGGCTCCAGCCGCGAGGACTCTGTGCCCCTCGCCCGGCCAGGCAACAGAACTTGTTCCGTGGATATTTGGAGCCTCCACCTGCCAAACCCGAGTGATTCCTTTTAACACTCCAAGATCGTTCTTCCCCTCCTCCAGCTGTTGCAGCTTGAGGGGGAAAAACAAGCCAGCCGGTGGATTTTCTTTATTTTTATTTTTCGCCCCGCCGGGGAACGGTAAGTATGATACCTTTCAAAAAAATCTTTCCTCCACCCTCTTCATTTGGCTGTTAAGAAACAGTGGACATCTGAGGGATAAATAATATCGGGAATGTGACAGAAGGGCATGAATGGAAGGCGGTTAAAAATAAACCAGGAGGTGGGAGAAGGGAGGTGCGGATGCTGCGCGGCGCTCCGGGGGGCCAACAGTTGTTATTTTCCCAACCCCGGGGATGCGGTGAGTGCGCCCTGGCTAACGTGCTGGAGCGGGAACTGAGGTCTGGAGGCGAGGGCGCGATTAAAGATGTCGTTTCCCAACGAGAGGGGGTTAAGATTTAGCATCGTTTCGCCTCCTCCCAGCCTCACCGGTTCCCTTCCTTTGGGAACAGCTGGTGAACGGGTCTGAATTGCTGCCTCTCCCAATGTTTGGATTCGCGTGCATTTTCCGAGCATTTGAGCAACATACATAGGGGCTGCATAAATGGCGTGCGTTGAAGTGTATATTTCTCACGGTGTTGGCTTTTCTGATTCCCTCTCTCTCTCTCTCTCTCTCTCTCTGTCTCAGTTTCTCTCTCTGTCTCAGTCTCTCAGATAAGGTTCAGGTACCACCCTGACACAGTTGCAGGAATTGGCACTGACAGACGGACAGCCTTGTTGTTGGGGCGGGGGGGGGCGCGGTGAGAGGAGGAGGGGCGGGATGTTTGGCTGTTGTTTGGGGGCGCCGGGATTGGGGAATAGGTAGTCTGCAAAATCCTGTTAGTTTAATGGTGTTAAAGAAGAGACAAATTCCTCTGCAAAGATCTCGCTCATAAAGGCTCCTGGGAATTGACTTGAATAGATTCTCTTAACCAGGAGTACCTTGAGAAAGAAGAGAGATTTTAAAATCAGTCTGGTTTGCTGGAGGAATGATTTTTCTTTTCTCTTCTTTCTCTCCCTCTTTCTTTCTAAATCAGGGATAGTGAATTAACTAGTAGACAATAAAAAGAAAGGCAATTTGCTATTTGTAGGGTGGAGGAGGGAGTTAGATAAACAAAAACTAAAAATCCCAAATAAATAAATAAATGTGAAATTATTTGGTGTAGAGCAGAAAGAGGGCAGTTCTAGATCTCCTGAAGAGATGATGGTGAATTAGAAGACTCTCTAATTCATGACCTTCTGGGAGTCAGCTGGGTGGGAGGGCAGGTGTGTGTAGTACTCAGGTATACAGGAACTTGGGTTACACTGGGGCTTCATTGAAATTATCATTTTTGGGGAGCTGGGGAAGAAACTGAGGAAACTCTCAGGCTATTAGATCTGTGCAAGTCTTGAAAGGATGTTGGCCTGACACTCCACAGTGAATATCACCCCAGGATGGTTTTGTAAGTAGGGATTTGGAGACTCCTTGAGGGTAAACATTTCAGCGTATGAGATGTTAGCAGTCAGGCAAAGGAAGGGAGCTAGCATGTGAGATGCCCTCAGTGGTGTATTTTCTGGGGTTTGTGTCACAATCAAATGCCCTTCTTGCCCTAGGAAATTGAGTATGATTGGGAAGGGGTGTATGATTGGGAAGACTTCTGTTTGCCACTTCCATACTTGTCACTTTATAAAATTCAGTGTGTTTAGGCTGCTAGGCTGACAGGATCAGCAAGAAGCAGCAGGTGGTCAAGAGCTGAATCCTGTTAATGGCTTCAGAAAGCCATTTCTCTTATGCTTTCCAAGTGCTTCCAGTAATAGAAGCTGGTAGATGCCCTGAATTCTGGCTATCATCATTCTCTCCAGTTCTCCGGGTTACTCCCTGCATTCTTGGAAGCCTTATTGAACAGAGTACATGGAAAAATCAAGAGGAGATAGGGGATTTGGATGGGGGCTTTTACAGGACTTGGCTGAGGAGATGAATTACCTGGATCTTGGGAGAACAAACTAAGGAAGAAGAAGGGCCAGGTGACAGAGGGAGCAGATCAGAGCTGCAAGGGACATGAGATTAGGAAGTGGAAGATTGTATATAAAAGTGGGCAAAGAGAGAGAGAAAGAGAGAGGAGGGGGATGTTGGGGATGTGGATTTATTGAAGTGAAGGTGGGGGCATATGATAGGCTAAGAATGAAGCCCACACAAGCTAAAATTTAAAAACTAAGGAGATAGTCCCTTGAGCAGAGTGTAGGAGGAACCACTGAGGTGAACATGGGGCAACCACAAGGAGAGAAGATGGTTATTAGAGATGTGGAAACTGGCATTAGTTCCTAGTCTGCGGGTGGTAGGGAGTGTTCAGGATTCAGGGGGACAGAAAAACAATGGGGACATGCTGCCTAGGGAGTCAGGCAGTGCCAACTTAACATGGGCCATTAATGAGTCTCAGGGTGTCCTGTATGTCCTCACATTCCATCTTCCCTTACTTTAGTGGCCTAAAGACACAAACATTTGGGACTGTGTAGATAGATAATAAAAACATAGGTTACTGTCATGTTATTCATCACTGCCAGTGTTTATTGCCATTCATTAGGTAAAAGGCATTGTGATATCTTATGAACATCCATTATCTCATTTAATCCTTACAAACATGGGCTGGGGGAAGTTGTGTTATTATTTGTACTTTACAGATGAGGTGATTAAAGCTCATTCAACTGGTGCCGTCTGGACAAAAGAATGTGGTTTGGTTTTTGTTTTCCTTTTTTTTTTTTTTTTTTTTCCCTCTTGCCAGGGTTTCGTGCTTTGTTTTTCAGGTTACAGTGTACTGGCTTCTTTTTTTTTTTTTTTTTTTTTCTTCTGACTTGCCCAATCCTGAGTCAAGATAGGGAGGAGTGGAAGGGCACTTAATTCAGAAACATTTTACGAGTGGAAATTTTAAAAACTGCCTTGAGATAGATGAATGATGGAAGCAGTTGTAAAGTCACAGCATTATTTTTGTGGAATGAAGAGAGTGACAGTGAGAATTAAGACCTGGCATTCGTGAAGGGGAAGATAGAAGCAAGAGCCATGTGGGCCATGAGGGGAGAGAGGAAAAATAACTGAGTTGCCATAAAAATAAACTAAGCTGAAATAATAACCAAAGAAGAAGGAAAGAAGGATGTTTAGTGAGTAAGAATAGCCTGCCCCATACTCTTTAAAATGTATGGGTGCTTGGTGTGTTATATGACCTGCTTGAAGAAAAGAGAAGTGTATGTGAAGACAAATGCTCGGTTTGCTCTTTATGATTTGTTTCCTTTTTATTTTTTTTCCTATGCTTGTTTCCAATCCTTTTTCAGGTGAAGTGCTTCTTCTGCATGATTTTGGCTGAAGGATGCTCTGCATTTCCTTGATGTCTATGGAGACTTCAGAGCTGGTTTTGCTTCTGCTGACACCTCATCTAGCACCTTCTCTACCTCCCAGGGTCTTTGCCTCTATCTATGGTGTGGCATTGCACCTGGGTCCAGGAAGCCTTTGATGAACTTAAAAGGAGAGCCTGGAGAATCATCCTGATAGACTTTGAGCAGAAATGGCTGGACATGCTTCAAACCACATCTTAACATGGGTCGAGCCATCTCTAGAAGGCAAGTGCTAACAATAAAGGCTTATTTGCATTTTATTTAAATTTAATGGACTGAGCATTGGCCAATTTCCATGGCAGAAAAATATATTTCATTTTCTAGGCATAACTTCTGACTGTCAGACACTTGCTGCTTTTGAATCTTGCAGAGTCATTACTAAGCACGTCCCAGACACATTTCCAAATTCGAACATCTACCCCCAAAACATAGGTGTCTGAGAGACTCCAGCGTTTTCGGACTTCTTAGGATTGAGAGTGCTAGGCTGTTTATCTCGACCAGCCAAGCTCTGGAGAGCAATGTTGAATCCCTGGGAAGAGAGAGCATGGGGCGTGCTGATTTAAAAACAGAAAATGCAAAGTTGGACTGAAAATATCCTTAGTCTTCCAAGCAATCTGCTTAAGGGTTCCAAACTTACCTTAATTTGGTGAGAAAAGAAGCTGCCCTATTTTTCTTTCTACTTCGTCTACAACTGGAACCAGCCATTTCCGAAAACCACCGCCATGGAGGTTGCAATGGTGAGTGCGGAGAGCTCAGGGTGCAACAGTCACATGCCTTACGGTTATGCTGCCCAGGCCCGGGCCCGGGAGCGGGAGAGGCTTGCTCACTCCAGGGCAGCTGCGGCAGCTGCCGTCGCAGCGGCCACAGCTGCTGTCGAAGGTAGTGGGGGTTCTGGTGGGGGGTCCCACCACCACCACCAGTCACGTGGGGCCTGCACCTCCCATGACCCTCAGAGCAGCCGGGGTAGTCGGAGGAGGAGGCGACAGCGGCCTGAGAAGAAGAAAGCCCACCACCGGCAGAGCAGCTTCCCTCATTGCTCTGACCTGATGCCCAGTGGCTCTGAGGAGAAGATCCTGAGAGAGCTGAGTGAGGAGGAGGAAGATGAGGAGGAGGAGGAGGAGGAGGAAGAGGAGGGAAGGTTTTACTATAGTGAAGATGACCATGGTGATGAATGTTCCTACACGGACCTGCTGCCCCAGGACGAGGGCGGTGGTGGCTACAGTTCAGTCCGCTACAGTGACTGTTGTGAACGTGTGGTGATTAATGTGTCAGGCCTACGCTTTGAGACCCAGATGAAAACTCTGGCCCAGTTTCCAGAGACTTTGTTGGGAGACCCTGAAAAGAGGACTCAGTACTTTGACCCTTTGCGCAATGAATACTTTTTTGACAGGAACCGGCCCAGCTTTGATGCCATCTTATATTATTACCAATCAGGAGGCCGCCTGAAGAGGCCAGTCAACGTCCCCTTTGATATCTTCACTGAGGAGGTGAAGTTCTATCAGCTGGGGGAGGAGGCCCTGTTGAAGTTTCGGGAGGATGAGGGCTTTGTGAGAGAAGAGGAGGACAGGGCCCTCCCTGAGAATGAATTTAAAAAGCAGATTTGGCTCCTCTTCGAATATCCAGAGAGCTCCAGTCCCGCCAGGGGCATAGCCATTGTGTCCGTCCTTGTCATCTTTTGCCTGGAAACCTTGCCTGAGTTTAGGGACGACAGGGATCTCGTCATGGCACTGAGTGCTGGTGGGCATGGTGGGTTGTTGAATGACACCTCAGCACCCCACCTGGAGAACTCAGGGCACACGATATTCAATGACCCCTTCTTCATCGTGGAGACGGTCTGTATCGTGTGGTTTTCCTTTGAGTTTGTGGTTCGCTGCTTTGCTTGTCCCAGCCAAGCACTCTTCTTCAAAAACATCATGAACATCATTGACATTGTCTCCATTTTGCCTTACTTCATCACACTGGGCACTGACCTGGCCCAGCAACAGGGGGGTGGCAATGGTCAGCAGCAGCAGGCCATGTCCTTTGCCATCCTCAGAATCATTCGTCTGGTCCGAGTATTCCGGATCTTCAAACTCTCCAGGCACTCCAAAGGCCTGCAGATCCTGGGCCACACCCTCAGAGCCAGCATGCGGGAACTGGGCCTTCTGATCTTCTTCCTCTTCATTGGGGTCATCCTCTTTTCCAGTGCTGTGTATTTTGCAGAGGCGGATGAACCTACTACCCATTTCCAAAGCATCCCAGATGCATTTTGGTGGGCTGTGGTGACCATGACAACTGTGGGCTATGGGGACATGAAGCCCATCACCGTGGGGGGCAAGATTGTGGGGTCCCTGTGTGCCATTGCGGGTGTCTTAACCATTGCTTTGCCAGTGCCAGTGATTGTCTCTAACTTTAACTATTTCTACCACAGAGAGACTGAAAATGAGGAACAGACACAGCTGACGCAGAATGCAGTCAGTTGCCCATACCTCCCCTCTAATTTGCTCAAGAAATTTCGGAGCTCTACTTCTTCTTCCCTGGGGGACAAGTCAGAGTATCTAGAGATGGAAGAAGGAGTTAAGGAATCTCTGTGTGCAAAGGAGGAGAAGTGTCAGGGAAAGGGGGATGACAGTGAGACAGATAAAAACAACTGTTCTAATGCAAAGGCTGTGGAGACTGATGTGTGAATTGCTTTCTCCACCTGCCACTGCCCCCCCCCAGCATCTCCAAATATATTTATGCATAGAGAGTGCAGTTATGAAAATGAAATATGCAAATGATCCAATGCATACAGTAGTACACCATTTAATGGTTATACATGGCATAATTGTACCTAAACTTGTATTACATATCAAATAAATGGTATATCCTGGAGAAGAGGGAGGCTTAAATAGGAGCAAATCTATCTTTATATTTTTATTAGAATGCAAGAGTTTTGCACATTAACTAGAAAAGATGTTAGAAAAGATGGAGAGAGAGAGAGTGTGTGTGTGAGTGTGTGTGTGTGTGTGAAGTAAATTGTCAATGTTAGTAATTGTGCAGTGATGGGAAAAGTTGGCATTTTGAAGTATTTACTATGTAAGAACTAATGAATTTGAACAGTCATTTATCAGTGCTTTAATAGCATCTCATATGTCTTTGGATTCTGTAGTTGTTTTTTAAAAATTGTAAGAATTGCTGTGTAGAGAAAAAAGAAAGTAAATTATTTAATAGAATATAGGTCACAATTTTATCTTGGATTTAATTAAAGTTTATTTTTAACTGGAAATTAACTTTTAAAAAGGCTGCAAGGGCCTTTAGAAATTGATTATATTTTGTTATTAATTTTGGGAAGATTTGACAGCAAATGTCTAACATTATAGAATAAATGACATTGGAGAATATGTAACAAGTTTTGTTTGCAGGTAACAGGACTGGAATTTTTTTTTTTTTCTTTGCACTACTTTATATGCTGGAGATTGAGAGAGACTTCATACTGTGAATGTTTACTAATGTAACAGTTCAATGACAATCATTGGAAGAGTGATTTCTTTAGTCTTATTTTATTGTTTTCATTGTGTGAGACTAATGACCATGCAGATAACATCACATGATTCTCTCCTCTTTTAAAATCTAAATAACTGATCTACAAAGGAACCATGAAGTAAAATTTAGCAACTGAATCTTTTGAAATTGGTCTGTTACAATGATATGTGAAATCATATATTTTATATATTCTTCTGCCTTTTAACTCCAGAATAATTTAACCAAAGTTAATGCATGCACTGAAAGAATTCTTGAAGAAATAAGATGCCTAGCAGGTACAGTGATTATGGCCTAAAATTTTTCTATTAAATGTGCAATATAAATGCTAGATTTATTAAGTTTATTTTTTTGTGCAGTTATGTAAGAACAGAATTTGAGGATTAACCTCAGATTTTAACATTCTATTTACTAAAATGAATATAAGGAAGAATTGTGTCAAACATTTGGTTTCCACATCACCATCATTATCATCTTTATTAAAGGAAATTATGACACATATAACTGCATTTAACTCACCACAAAGTGTTCTAGAATGTGATATAGCAACTAGCGATCAGACTTGCACTATTAAATCATGATGAGGTATAGTTTAGAAAACTCGGAATGCATACGAGGCCTTATTCCACAATGTTTCTTTAAGTTTTAATCTTTATAAAATGGTTGTCTTGAGTTCTGGGCAGGGGACAAAACAAACAACACTGCATACACTTTTTCGGCACCTAGTAAACTCTGGTAACTGTGATCTAAAAACAAGCAAACAAACAAAATGACCTAGAATAGCCTTTCTCAAGCTTTCTAAAATCCAGGCCATCATTTCATAATTACATAAATCCTACCTCTCTTTTAACGGTATTTGAAATTCAAAGTAAATTCAACATTAGGGTTAAAAGTAAAGCTGCACCCCCTCTCCACCCTTTCCCCGTCGTTTGTAGAGAAACTCTTTTCTAGAAACCTTTTAGATAATGAAAAAGCAAGCAGGACCTTTGATTGAATGTGAAGACCAAAGATCAATAGAAGACAATAGAGAATGGTAAAACAAGAAAATGCCATCTTAACAATAAGACTTCAAAGATAACATTTTAATACATTTTAGATTTGGGGCAAAAAATGTAATAAGCGTTAGGCTGGGGGTAAGCCTATTTGGACTGGTTATAATTCATTTGAAAAAGTCACTTAACATCTCTGGACCAAAAGTTCATGAATGGTAAAAAAGAGGGCAAATGAAGCATGTTACATGACAGAGTTAAGCAAAACAAATGAGGACATACAAAAACTCTGAAATGTTGAGTTCTGTACAAATGCCTGATCCTATGTCTAAATTGTTTAATCTTCCTCTGGGAGAAAAAGGGATTTAGAACCCACAAGCATATGTCTACTTTATTAGGATATTGTAAAAATTATGGGCAATTGCTTAAACTTTGGAGTCCTTACAAGAAGTAGATATGCAGACACAAGATAGTCTATTGCTGATAGATTCAGGCATGTCATAGTATAGAAAGTTGACTCTGTGAACAGACCATGTGTCTTACAATATAGCCAACTAGGTCAGATTATATCTTAAAATAATTTAAGGGCTGTCTAGTAGAACGGATATTTATTGAACTTTCTATAATAGCAATGACAATGATTTGGCTACGTTTGGAAGGGAAATGTACTGTATTTCGTTGTTTCTATAATATCTCCTCTTTGAATCTAAAAGTTATATTAAATTTGAGTGACAAAACACATTATATTGATAATTCTGAGAATCCAGGAAATGTAGTCATTTGGTGATTACCTTTATTTCACATGGCTTTTTTTTTTTTTTAGGGTGAGAAGTTCAAGAAGTGGTAGTCATGAGCTTTCAAACCAAATATTATTAGGTTACCATACTAAACTCATGTTTTCTTTCTCCTGGCAAGATGCATTTATTTTAGAGTATCTGGATATTGATCCCACACTGAGAAGGAAACTTTTCAACTCTCAAGACTTACATGGGGGTATTTCTGTATGGAACGCTTCTCTTACAAGAGAATTCATGAAATGAGGACATCCAGTACAGCTGTGAATTCATAATATTTTTCTGAGTTGAAACTAGTCAAAGTACTTTAGAACCATTTGTAAAAATTTATACTGACAAATATGCTTTCTGGACCTATTTGTAACTAATTTAGGTAACTGTATCTTAGACGCCACTATACACATTTGGTTTTAAAATAAAGAGGAACTGACCTTCTTTAGAAATCCAATTCTTGGGATCTGGGATCCTTTTATTGCTTTTCAGATGATAATAGATGTTACCAAAAGCACACTATTTAAGGGTCATCCTAATCAGAATCTTTTCAAGGGTGGTTGCATTGTTCTGTCTTGCAAATGCTTGCAGAGGAAACAGTTATGCACAACAGTTAGGGGGAAGAAAGGAGGAATAAATAGTACTTTTGATTTCTGTGAAAGGGAGCCAGTGGGTGCTAGAGGAATGACAGCTGGTCTAGGGAGTCAAGAGAGCTGGCTTGTTAATCGTGGGCAAATCGTTTCATCTCCTTGATCCTCAGGACTTTCTCTCTCTCATTCTCTCTCTCTCTCTCTCTCTCTCTCTCTCTCTCTGTGTGTGTGTGTGTGTGTGTGTGTGTGTGTGTGTGTGTGTCTGTGTCTAAAACTGGGCTATTGAGCTACATTATTACTTCGTTCCTTTTAGTACCACAGTTCTACTGTGGAGTAAAGGAAACGTCAGACTAGCTTGATATTTCCTAAGCACTATTAAAGTCGTATCAGCTTTGATTTTTTCGTAAGGAATACGGGCAAAAATAAATAAATAAAAATAAAAATCTCACTGTTAGGTTAACCACAGAACAGGTGTTTGAGTTTTTTAGAATGTAGACTAAGCTGAATGAATAGGATGTATTTTGAAATGGTTATCCTAACAACTTCTAAAGGGAAGGGATTCATTTAATGAAAAACAACTCTTCAGTCCTCAGTTGAATACATACAGTGAAAATTGGTGAGTAAACATTTTGATGTCTTGCTTTGTTATCGTATGGTCTTGTCAGTAAACAGTATTTTGACCTGTGCTGGGGAACTCATTTTATGCTTAGACACTTGTAGTGTTTCACAAGTACTACTACATGCTTTGTCAAGTTTGTTTTAAACAGGATCACCGAAGCTTTCTGAATTTTTTTCATTAAGCATGTGGTGAAACAGAACCCAATATATGAATAAGAAAAATATGTAAAGAAAATACTATGAACTAAGATACATATTTTCCCATCAAAAAAAAAGTCATCATTAACCAATGGCAAATTATTTTTAATAACACTGTAATCACAAACAGCAGCCCCCTACCTCCCAACAAAGAAACAGTGTTCTTTGTTGCTGTTAATTTTCAGTGTTTGGATGAGCCTTTAGTACTAACATTACAACTATGTTAGGGAAAGTGAGAAATATACCTAGATTCAGTTCACATTTTTTAAAATGAACCTGTGGTGATGTGCTCATGCGCAGGAAACAGAGTGTAATGTCCCTCTTTCTGTGTATGTATTTATTTTTATTGATACAGTTTAAAATGATTACAGGGTGTCATTCAGTGACAAAAGGGCCTGTTCCAGGAAAACTCCTTGATCCAAAAGTCATTCTGAATTCTTCAAGGGACATTTGATGTGGACAAAGGTACCTTCTGGTTTTCCTTCCTGTAAAGAAACTTGACTCTAGGCACAGTATCTTCCAGACCAATGTAGCCACTGCAGGTTAGAAGACAGTTCTACTTTTTAGTATGAAAATCAGTATTCCTATTTGAGAAGAAGATTGTTGGAGTGATTGTGTTTGATATTGAAGGAAGCAGGGCTATTTTTTTTTTGTAATAAATGGGAATATGTACTTCTGAAAAGTAAATTAAGATTAGGACTGTGATATGAGTTTTATTTCTGGCTTGGTTTTGTTTCCATAGCAGTCCCAATTTCTCATAGTATCTTCTTCATGAAAGTATGCTAATACACATCAGACCATATGGCCCCATTTGAGGTTTAGAAAATATGGTCACCTTATTTATGGATAAATAAATTAATCCCAGGGCATAAGTTGGTTGCTTAAAAACATGGCACATATTTAATGAGCAGCAGCTCTGAGTGAGATGCAAACATCCCCCTTTCAGGCCTGTGGGACAGGAAGAGATGTATAAGGCAAATAATGTGCTCAACATAAAGTCTTGCTGTCGCCTTGAAAAGCGTATTCCCAGATTCACTGGAGGTAGTGTAGCTGACTTAAGGTTCAGCTTTTGGTTCATTTGTTGTCATTGGTGTCTTGGAAGGAAGCTTTGCATCCAGGTGCCAGGAGCTAAAATGATGTTGGTAGTTGATACACAAATAGTCCATTCTTGCTTCCTACCTGCAAACAGTCTGTTTTGTGGGTTATCCGTAGTTGGTTTTTCACCTGAGGCTGGCTTTACTCAGGCTCAGAAGCCTATTGTCTTCTGTTAAATAGCAAGTCCAGGAAAGGTAAAATTATAAAAAGATAAGACAATCCAGTACAAAGAAACAGCAAAATTGCTAGAACTAGAAAGCCAAACAAAACCTAAGTGGGAAGCCAAATCTGTTGTTCAAACTGTTACATAAGCTAGAATTAATTATGCAGGATTTAGGTGTAAATTGGTCCTGCCTCATCACTATAGCAGAGATAACCAAGAGATGGCTGTTGTGATGGAGGACATAAAGCAGAAATAACTTGCCCCATGAATATATAGGTTAACATTTTCTGTGAAAATTATAGAAGTGCTAACTCATCTTAGCAGTGGTTTTAATAGTAACTATTAGAAATGACTAATAAATATGGAAGATATGCTGGTTTCGTTTCACAGTAATTAGCACTATGTGGGAATGTACTTAGATTGTTTCCCACGATTCTGTAGACCAACGGCTATTTCAAAGTCAAAGAGCATGAAGGCATTTTTATCCATAGCTACTTAAGCTACTGGCTGTTGAAGGGCCAGTTACCACTTAAATCAGTCAAAGCAGTTAAATACATAGTCTCTGTGGATATCAACAAAAGCTGTGCCAGGGCTAAGTCTAAGAATTATATTTGTTTTAAAATAATTATATGTGAATATGTAATATATCCATATGTTCCCATATATTATGTATTTTATTTTCTGCCTTTATTCTGGCAACAAACATTAGCAAAATAAATGATCTGAAGTATTGAAAGAGACTTCTTGAAGTGAAGTAAAAGTGTATAATTCCCACTAGTAGTCAAATGTATGTGTTTGGAAAAATGGTGACGCTGGTGGACTAAAAAAAACCTTTCTTTACACATTAGGTTGGATTTTTGTGCCCTATAACCACAATGGTACTAGTCCTCAGCTCTGAGACTTGCATAAGGGCATATGGAGTTTCATTCCCAGAAGGAAGGGTTAATTTTTATGCTGTATGGAACATTGAACATTGTTGATTTTGATTTTTTAATGCACTTATTTTCATTATATAAATGATGCATATAGCATGGAAACTAGACTATATGACCTGTAAACCTATGTGCCTATGTGCTCTCTAGAAATAGAATTACCAGAAGCCATTATCTTTCTGTATTTTTTGTTGTAGCATTTGTTTGATGTGAATTGCCTAATTCTCTCAGGTTCAATTACAGCATTAAAAGTTTCAGGTTATTGTTGTTTTTGGAAATATTCCATACCTTTCTTAGGCTCTGAGGGCACACAAACAACCATTCAGTAGTTGGAAAATACCATATCTCTCGGAGATCAAGGCGATATTACCTGAACTCTCTCCACGATAGCAGCCACATTAGTTAACATGGAGGATGTGTGTTTTTCTATTTATAAACTTAATACACTTGTACCTGAATAGAATGATGATTTCCCTGAAGAACAGTAATGGTGTTGATAGCACCTGAGTGCACCTTTTTTCCTTCTGTCAATTGGTAGGGATCATGATCCAAATGAGGCTTTCATTTGCTCTCAGTCAGAGTAGGAAATAATTAATGAAGCTCCCACTGGACTGAAATCTATCAAGAGGTGATGGAATCTCTAGGGAATGCATTAGGATTTTTATTTATTTACTTGTCATTCCTAGTTGGTGTCATTTTTGCATGATTATTGGGGAAAGATATTAATTTTATGATGATTTACCTAATATTAAAATGACTTGATAAAAAGCAATTAGAAATTATAAGCATTGCAGTGTCTTATTAGCTTCAGGAATGTCTCCAGTTAAATATTTTAAGAAATTAATATGAGATTTGGAGATTGCAATACTTATTTGGAGAGAAATATATCCAAAGACTAATGATTTAGTTGTTCAAATTTCTTGAGAAATCTGAGTTTTATAAGCTTTGCACGAGATATTCAAAAAGTCTCTCAACTTTCAAATATTTTGCTGTAACTCTGTCAGATTTCAGAAAGAAATGCAAGAATTCCTCTTAAGAGGAAAATGGTACCTTTTTTTCTTCCTTGTGTGTTTATGTCTTTTTCACATTCATGATTAAATCGGTGGATTTTATATAATCGTCTTCTAGCAAATTGAGTGAAAGTCTTGGCTACAAATTGATTAGAGGATGACAAGATTGTCTGATGGTCTTTCTTAGCAACATTTGCTGTTGATCAGTTTAGAAGCTGATTTCAGTATATGTAAATTACAACACAAGGAAATGGCTATGTACTGTATTAGAATCTAAATGACAAAGCAAAAATATTAGGAACAGGATTTCCTTTTGGGTTCCTAGAAGTGTTCTTAGTGCTTTTGAACCATGTCCTCCAGATGTGATGTAGCCAATGAGAATTTAGCAAACTCATTTTTTTCCCTAGAGTAGCAACAAGATATAAGCAGGATCAGTGCCAACTGGGAGATAGGGACAGGAGCAGGGGGATGGGCAAGGGACAAGGAGTATATGCCTAAATGGAGTCACTAATATGATGGTGAAAATAGTTAGGTCAGTCTAGAAACTGCCTCATTTTGTCATGCTATTAATTTTTATTAACACAGAGAATCCAGGAAAGTGAATTGATCTCTAAGAGTAGGCATGTATGTGTGCATGACCAAATATTCCCTTTGCTCTTTGTCTTTGAGGACACTTACATACAAAACCATAAAACTATTGCTGGAAATTAAAACTATATGTCTTATTAAGAATAAAATTCACCTTTCCCTTCAGAGTAAGGGACTTACGTCTTTAGGAGATTACCACTTGGACATTTATGTTTCAAAGGGAGAGAATCTCCCCCTTATTCTAATGTAGAATGTCAGCCTGGCAATGCATTCAAGCTAAGACATAAGTAAGCAACCAGTAGAAGCCCTGGGAATGAATGTCACTAACACAGAGCTGAATAATGTGTTTATGTTGGTTATTGCTGGTGTGCAATTCTTAGAGGAATGGAGAAATCATAAAATTTGTGCAACCTAATTAGAACTCTGCCATCATATGCTCCTTGCTGATTTAGCTGCTGCTGCTGCTGCTGCTTCTCCTCCACACAGAAAAGAGGTGTCATTTCACTACTAGAAGCTACATACTTCACAGGTTTCAAGGCAGTGTGAGAAACAGTGGAGAAAGAAAGGGTTAGATTAGATAGATAAGGATGAAGCAACATACAGTATTTTAAGGTGTGAATCATCCTGTGACACCAGACTATTTTTACTCACTCAAGGGACTAAGCAGAATCTTTGGATGGGAGAAGCTCTGTTCAGGAATTACCATTTCCTTTTTGTATGTCTATAGTATCACTATTAGAGATCAGTCTAGTCTAGCAAGGGGATAAATTCTTCCGTCATTGCTAAAACAAGCTGAAAATTACATGCTGGAAATGTTTTCTTCCCTCATTTCAGTTAAGAAAAATTTGTAGTTGTTTTATAAGCTTTGCAAGAGAGATTCAGAAAGTCTCTCAACTTTCAAAGATTTTGCTGCAACCCTGTCAGATTTCAGAAAGAAATTCAAGGTAGGAGAGCCTAATAGAACTTCAGATCAAATATAAACTTGTTCAAAGCAAAGTATCCAGGGACCTCCTTCTAATCTCTTCTCCCATGCCAGGTTAGCTTTTTTTGTTTGGTTGGTGTGGCTTTTCCACTTTCCCTCCAGCCCATCTCATCCCATTCACCTTTGTGCCAACAAAAGCCCAGATCAGCAAGGCTTTTGCAGTCCCTGTTTGCAGATTTCTCAGGGAGAGCTTTTTATGTGTGATTCAGGTAGACGTCTTCCCATTTTGTAAATCAGGTCATGCCAGTGCCTATCCAGAAAGCTGCTACAACCACCTGCAATGTGGGTCTGTTGTGTTCTGTTGTTATGTTAGCTATTTTCTGCCTATTACTGAACAGCTGGGATTTTAGAAACAGCTGGATGATTAGTTGTTTTTCCCATTTTTCACCCAGATGCTTTATTACTGTGTAGAAACAACCCCAGTGTGGAACAACCTGGGAGTATACAGCTCTGATGCAACTGTCGTTATTAGGAATTGAATCAAGAAAATTACGGGCAAACAGTTTTGACTATTGCCTGCTTTACAAACATGTTTGATACAGAATTCTCTTTTCTATTTCTAGGCAGAATGGTTTGATTTAGCAACTTTAAATGCCTCTCCCATTGTTCCTTAGGCTATCAAAGCTATGCTTTGGCTGTTACATTTATTTGCTTAAAGGGAAATGTCTGCACGCAATGAGGCATCACCTGAGTCTTCCATTCACTGCTGGCAAGAGGAGCTGATAGAGGCAGGCAAGCGATAGTCCTCTCACTCGCCACAGTCTATTTTTAGGTTGGTTCCTTTGTGGCTGACTTCAGTCCTGACGGGATGAATTGACATTCAAAGACAATGAAATATTTTATTATGGTGATTTGCGGATTTATCAAACTGGATATTGTGAAAGTGACAAATTTAATTCAGGTGCTGTTAGTTGGTTCCTTACCCAGGGCTAAAATTAGAATAAAAAGGATGCGTAGACGTCTTTTCCTTTTCTAATTATTCTTTCAACAGATGTTTGTTAAGCTTATGCTAGGTGGCTGGGCTGTATAATGTACCCAATCTCTAGATGTGCTAAAATTTCAGAGAATCACAGTTTATGTAAGGATATTTTTTGAGATATATATTCATTTTTTCTAAATAGCAGGATTCTTGTTTATTATGATGATTATTTTGCCCTTTTAGAATCTATATGTATGGCTAGGTCTAGTTTCTTTTTGGGGAGTGAATTGCCAGGCATCATGCTTTAATAATACTTCCTTTTTATAAGTTCTGTCTTGTTTGTGTTATATGTTTTGTTTTCCATAATAGCTTCTGTATGAACTGCAGAGTAAATGGGCCTAAATCCAACTTGCCAATTTTTTTATGATTCTTGCATAAGCAAGAACAATACTCAGTGTTTTCAAATAGCAGAGATGATTATATGAACCGTATTTACTCCTTTTAATTCATAGAATGTATTTCTTCCATACAATAACATATGATTAAACTATAACTCAAAGAAAGAAGCAGATTTAACTGAAATATTAAATATTTGGAAAGCAATAAACAATCTTTTTTTAATTTCAAAGTAATTTTCTATGACCGTGGTTTTTCTTTGCACACGAAAACTTTTTTTTTTTTTTTTAAATAACCATCTGTATCTTTCTATTTAGGAAAGATATGAGTGCCATTGATGGTTCATTTACAGATTCTGGCTTGAATAAAAACCTGAGTTTATTTCTTGGATGCATGTGGAAAGGGTTGTTCTTTTTGTTGATATTCCTACTACCTAGGCAAACCAAATGGAATTGCATTAATTACATGGCTAAGTCAGGAGAGTTGAGACCAACTTCAGGGATTTTTTATGAGGTGCCTTCCATCTGCATTGATTGATTTCAAGAGATGTTTGCTCAGGTTTCTGTTTGCTTTCAAGATAATGTCTGATACATTAAGTTAAAGTTAAGGCCTTACTATTTGAAATGCAGCTGTAATAACATTTTTAGCTCTCTCCAACTAACTTTAATTTTTTAAGAACTTGAACTTCTATAAAATGTATTTTAAAACTACCTTGTTTGTTTTCTGAGTGTTTTAGGACTTATATTAGAGTCCCTGGCTTTTAGTCTTCATTCAGGCCAAACAACCATTATCTTTAATTGAAGCTGCTTCTACTGGAAGCCAAAACAATTGGTGGAGTCACTGAAGAAAAGAAAAAAAAAAAAATGCCAAGATGATTGTCTGGCATTGTGAAGCCATTAATTCAATTCTGCTTCATGAAAGCCATTAGAAGCAAACATATCCTGGATTATCTTTAAATTTAGGCATTTTTCAATTGCTATCCTGTCAAGGAAATACCTTTAATTGTAAAACCATTATTTTGTGGAATATATATAGTTTTTACCTTGGCAAACTGCAGCTATTTCTTGTGCTTTGGAAATACGACATTCTGTATATTAAAAATTCAAATGAAACCATGATTTTTCTATCTTAAAATGAAGGCATTTTTTTCCACAATTTTTCACGAAATGTATTTGCAAACCTGAAAATATATATTAGTCTGAATAGTTGACACACAGGTAATATTTGAAGATTTTTAGACAAATAACCGAGTTGCTTATTATTACTGCATGAAGAAGGAAATTGACTTACAAGCTTTTTACACACTGGAAAGTGAAAATGGAAGGCCATATATTAACATTTTCAGATCGAGACCAAAGGCCATATATTTCTTTACATTTTCTGAAAGAGACCAAAGGCCATATATTCATTTACATTTTCTAATAGATACCAAAATGTTCTGTGTGATTCATTCAGAAGTTCTTTAGTGGAAGTCAAATGCGTTTGAAATATGTCAGTCAAAGGGTACAAAGGCTTATATAGGGGGAATGAGTTTGACTTTTTTTGAGATTATTTGCACAGCATGGTGAATATAGCTAATATTTCAGTACTGTACATTTCAGTAACGTTAAGAGAACAAATTTCAAATGTTCTTATCACAAAAATGCTAAATATTTTAGGTAGTGAACAGGTTAATTAACTTGATTTAATCATTGTACATTGTATTCAAAAATCCTAATACTACTTTGTATTCCATAAAGATATAGAACTATAATTTGTGAATATATAATAAAAAATTATAACTTTCTAAGCCTAACTAGAAATGTAATTTAGAAATGTGATGTTACATTGTGCAGATTACATTGCTGATATTTAAAATACATTTATATTATGTAATATTACCCTATTAAAGACCTGTTTTTTTTTTTTTTTTTTCATACTAAATAGCCTAACAGGCTATGTGTGAATGTTGTCAAAATAATTTGACAGTTTGAAAGTCTGTATCCCCAGATGCTAGATGATCAGTTATGTTTTCAGAAGAAAATGCCTTTTTATGTACCTATTTGAATAATAAAAGTTAATTATCTTTAACCTTGATTTTAGATCTTAATCTTATAATTTGGCTTTAGGTTTTTCTTTTTCTGCAGTCAAATAACTGGTTTTCATGATACTAAATAATTATTAATTACTTCTATTAGAAGTACTAAAATTTACATTAAAAATAGGAGAAATTAATAATTTTTACAGATTGACCCCTGAGATATTAACACATAAGACAGAATTCCTCTTTTTACTGGCTATTTAAAGCAATTTCTCGGTAATCATTTTTTTTTTTTTTTTTTTTTTTAATTTCCCACACATTATTTCACTCTTTATTACAGCCTGGTCATACTATTTATCAAACCCTGACTGTTTGCTGTGGAGAAGTAAACCTGTTGCTTTTCATAGAATAGTATTAAAAGCATTTTATAGTAAAACTTTTACCAGAAAGAAGGTTCCATGGCAAGTATTCAAGGACAGTATTAGAGACAACTCCAAGGTATTTAATGGAAAGTATAGACACCTTAAGTGATTTAATTTCATTTTAAAAAGTCTAGGTTCTTAGCAAGTTGAATGATGCCATAGCTCCAATCTTTTAAATCACGCTAGTTGCTGGCTGTTAATTAGTAGTATATGGTCAAATAAAAAATTGGGGATGAAGTATATTAATATAGAGGGTTTGCTGTGAAATAAAAATATTTTTATTTTAAGTTTTGCTATTCATCCAAGCAAGTCCTAATGCTAGGTAATTCTTGCTTTTCTAACTAACAGATAACAAGCGCAAAAAGTTCAAAGCTGGATTAATCATTAATAAGTAAAATTTGCCTTTTCTGTGTTTGTGCTAGAGGTTCTATCACAAACCTAATATTATTTTTATCATTAGCCTGCTAATATCAGCACATTTTAATAATTTGTTAATTTTCAGTATGCCTAGGCAGTAAATGCAGCTAGCTAAGAGTTAGCTGGCGGGCACACATGGTCATAGAAGTTTCCCACCATCCATCACTACTAGTATCATGAACATAATTGGGCTTAAAGGGTTTGTCATATTTCTGTTATTTCTCAGATTCTCAGAGAAGAAAGGTTTATAAAAATTTATTTATTTTTCCTGTTCTGTTGTTGAAATGGAGATCATGTAGCAATGGAGTGTTTGGAAGAAGCAGTTGTCAGTTTCTGTAGTCTTGGCCATGTATGTTGTTTGTACAATTCAAGACATTTATTCTTTGCTGGATAAAGTGCTTAATGAATGCTTCTTATCTCTGTGAAGTGTTTTAAAAGAGACTTATAATCTCAGTTTCTACAACAAATGAGTAAACAAAGAAATTAGAACATTTTAACTAGCTAAATGAGAAAGTTAAGTTATAAATAATGCTTCTATTTTTGAAGCCTCATCAGTTGTGTTTGTGCCTGATTTTTGTGCACTGGCACAGCAGTTGTCGTAGTTAAATGTTGAAATGCATTTGTATTGGTTAGAATTCAGCTGATGCTATGGAGCCCACCAAGTGTCAATTTGGGCTATGTTCAGCTGGGTGGTTCTTCTGATATAACCAGAGTTCCTGCATATAGCCACAGTCAGATGGGAGGTCTACCCCTGGCTGATTCTTCCCAAGATGGGCTCAAACACATGCCTGGAAATTGATGAAGTGACCAAACCATGTTATCTCCAGCATCCAACAGGATAGCTTGGGCTGCTTCACAAGGCAGCTGGCTTCCAAAGGCAGCAAGAGAAGGTAAACACGATGCAAGCACTTTTCAAGCCCCTGTGTACATCCTGTTTGTTAATGTTCCATTAGCCAAACAAGTTACACTGCCAAGTCCAGATTCATGCAGTGAAGAACTAGATTTCATTTTCTGATGAGAAAAGCTGTGAAACATTTGTGGCCATTTTTCTTCAGCTTACAACAACTTGTGACCATATTTCTTCTCATGAAGAATCTAACCCAGAACAAATATTTTATTTTATTTTTTTAATTGCATTTTAGGTTTTGGGGTACATGTGAAGAACATGCAAGATTGTTGCATAGGTACACACATGGCAGTGTGATTTGCTGCCTTCCTCCCCATCACCTGTATCTGGCATTTCTCCCCATGCTATCTCTCCCCAACTCCCCACCCCCCACTGTCCCTCCCCTATTTCCCCCCAACAGACCCCAGTGTGTAGTGCTCCCCTCCCTGTGTCCATATGTTCTCATTCTTCAACACCCACCTATGAGTGAGAACATGTGGTGTTTGATTTTCTGCCCTTGTGTCAGTTTGCTGAGAATGATGGTTTCCCGGTTCATTCATGTCCCTACAAAGGACACAAACTCATCGTTTTTGATGGATGCATAATATTCCATGATGTATATGGGCCACATTTTCCCTGTCCAGTCTATCATCGATGGATATTTGGGTTGGTTCCAGCTCTTTGCTGTTGTAAACTGTGCTGCAATGAACATTCGTGTGCATGTGTCCTTATAGTAGAATGATTTGTAATCCTTTGGATATATACCCAGTAATGGGATTGCTGGGTCAAATGGATTTCTATTTTTAGGTCCTTGAGGAATTGCCACACTGTCTTCCACAATGGTTGAACTAATTTACACTCCCACCAACAGTGTAAAAGTGTTCCTATTTCTCCACAACCTCTCCAGCATCTGTGGTCTCCAGATTTTTTAATGATCGCCATTCTAACTGGCGTGAGATGGTATTTCAGTGTAGTTTTGATTTGCATTTCTCTAATGACCAGTGATGATGAGCATTTTTTCACATGTTTGTTGGCCTCATGTGTATCTTCTTTTGTAAAGTGTCTTTTCATATCCTTTGCCCAATTTTGAATGGGCTTGTTTGTGTTTTTCTTGTAAATCTGTTTTAGTTCTTTGTAAATTCTGGATATCAGCCCTTTGTCAGATGGGTAAACTGCAAAAATTTTTTCCCATTCTGTTGGTTGCCAATTTACTCTAATGACTGTTTCTTTTGTCTTGCAGAAGCTGAGGAGTTTGATTAGGTCCCATTTGTCTATTTTGGCTTTTGTTGCCAATGCTTTTGGTGTTTTGGTCATGAAGTCCTTGCCTACGCCTATGTCCTGAATGGTTTTGCCTAGATTTTCTTCTAGGGTTTTTATGGTGTTAGGTCTTATGTTTAAGTCTTTAATCCACCTGGAGTTAATTTTAGTGTAAGGTGTCAGGAAGGGGTCCAGTTTCTGCTTTGTGCACATGGCTAGCCAGCTTTCCCAACA